AAGATAACTGAAACAGCAGCCAGAGGACATGAAGCAACCCATCAAAAGGGTTTATGAGTTTGTTAAGAGAATAATAATAGCTAACATTTACTGAGTTCATATTACATGCTAGTATTATTCTGACCATTTAAATATACTATTTAATGCTCATAATTCTTTTGTACACTTATCAAAAACAGATATGACTACTGAGTAGCAAAGAACTTCTCAACACTGCTCCAACTTTGGCATGTACAGAAATCACATAGGGATAAATGCAGTTCTGAATCAGTAGGTCTGGATGAGACCTGAGAAAGTGCATTTCTTTTTTTCTTTTTTGAGACAGAGTCTCACTCTGTTGACTGGGCTGGAGTGCAGTGGCATGATCTCAGCTTACTGCAACCTCCGCCTCTCAGGTTCAAGTAATTACGTTGCCTCAGCCTCCAGAGTAGCTGGGACTACAGGTACATGCCACCATGTCTGGCTAATTTTTTGTATTTTAGTAGAGATGGGGTTTCACCATGTTGCCCAGGCTGGTCTCAAACTCCTGAGCTAAGGCAATCCACCCACCTTGGCCTCCAGAAGTGCTAGGATTACGGGATTACAAGCGTGAGCCACCGTGCCCAGCCTGAGAAAGTACATTTCTAACAAATTCTTAGGTGATGCTCATCTAGCAACTCAGGGATGAAACTCTTGAGTAGTAAAATATAACTAAATGCAAGAACCAAAACTCAAATTACGGCAACCTGAGTCCAAAACAAGTTTTTTTTTTTGAGGCGGAGTTTCACTCTTGTTACCCAGGTTGGAGTGCAATGGCGCGATCTCGGCTCAGTGCAACCTCCGCCTCCTGGGTTCAGGCAATTCTCCTGCCTCAGCCTCCTGAGTAGCGGGGATTACAGGCACGTGCCACCATGCCCAGCTAATTTTTTTTATTTTTAGTAGAGACGGGGTTTCATCATGTTGACCAGGATGGTCTCGATCTCTTGACCTCGTGATCCACCCACCTCGGCCTCCCAAAGTGCTGGGATTACAGGCTTGAGCCACTGCGCCCGGCCAAAACAAGTATTATTTGAAAGGAATTTGTTATATTTAGAAGCACTGTCGTTGCCTATGAATTTTCTTGTTCTGAACATTTAAAAGTTAGCATATTCTAGGTACTAATGACCATAATTATACTGCCTTAGGACTCTCAAGGCCAAAAGGACACTGATTTTTCACAAATTCTCACGAAAATTTTTAAAAGATTACATAGAGAAGGCAGGCGAGGTGGCTCATACCTGTAATCCCAGCACTTTGGGAGGCTGAGGCAGGCAGATCACCTGAGGTCAGGAGTTCAAGATCAGCCTGGCCAACGTGGTGAAACCGTCTCTACTAAAAATACAAAAAATTAGCCGGGAGTGATGGCGGGCGCCTGTAATCCCAGCTACTTGAGAGGCTGAGGCAGGAGAATTGCTTTAACTTGGGAGGCGGAGGTTGCAGTGAGCCAAGATCGTGCCACTATACTCCAGCCTGGAAGACAGAACCAGACTCTGGCTCAAAAAAAAAAAAAAAAAAAAAAAAAAAAAAAAAAATTACAAGGAAACATGTAGGTTTATCTATGGCCATGAATTTTTCAAAAAAATAACTTCATTTATAAGAGAAATATATTATTCTACATCTTGGAAAATCTACAGTAACTGTCAACAGGTTTAATTTTTTAGTAGATTGTTCCGTATACAGTTAAACAATAGAACAGAATGGATGTACAATAATCCCACTTACAGAGAATTTCAAATGAAAAGAGTAGGAAAATAAATTTTAGAAGTCACATTACTTAAAGTTGAAGAGAAACAGGCCAGGTGAGGTGGCTCATGCCTGTAATCCCAGCACCTTGGGAGACCAAGGTAGGTGGATCACGAGGCCAGGAGTTCAAGACCAGCCTGGCCGAGATGGTGAAACCCCATCTCCACAAAAAATACAAAAATTAGTTTGTGTGGTGGCAGGCACCTGTAATCCCAGCTACTCAGGAGGCTGAGGCAGGAGAACCACTTGAACCCAGGAGATGGAGGTTGAAGTGAGCAGAGATCGTGCCACTGCATTTCGGCCTGGGTGACAGATTCCATCTTGGGAGAAAAAAAAACACACACACACACACAAAAAACTTGACGAGAAACAGAACTTTTCACATGTTAATTTCCACAAAAAAATATATAGAGATAGATATAAATATATACCTATATAGGCCGGGCGTGGTGGCTCAAGCCTGTAATCCCAGCACTTTGGGAGGCCGAGGGGGGCGGATCACAAGGTCAAGAGATGGAGACCATCCTGGTCAACATGGTGAAACCCCTTCTCTATTAAAAATACAAAAAAATTAGTTGGGCATGGTGGGGCATGCCTGTAATCCCAGCTACTCGGGAGGCTGAGGCAGGAGACTTGCCTGAACCCAGGAGGCGGAGGTTGCAGTGAGCCAAGATCGCGCCATTGCACTCCAGCCTGGGTAACAAGAGCGAAACTCTGCCTCAAAAAAAAAAAAAAAAAAAAAAAAAAAAAAAAAAATATATATATATATATATATATATATATATATACACACACACCCCTATATATATTTTTATAGATAAACATATATGTATTTATTTATGTATATATAAATATATATATCTATATATTTTTTTCCTTAAAAAAAATCTATCAGAGGAACTAAAAAAAGTAGAAAAAGCTTATTTTCAGCCAGTACAATGGCTCAGGTCTGTAATCCCAGCACTTTGGGAGGCTGCTTTCTGAGGTTGGGAGTTCAAGACCAGCCTAACCAACATGGGGAAACCCCGTCTCTACTAAAAATACAAATTAGCCAGGTGTGGTAGTGCACGCCTGTAATCCCAGCTACTCGGGAGGTTAAGGCAGAAGAATCACTTAAATCCAGGAAGCGGAGGTTGTAGTGAAGAGATCATGCCATTGCAACTCCAGCCTGGGTATCGAGAGCAATTTAGTCTCAAAAAAAAAAAAAAAAACAAAAACAAAAACAAAAAAGGCCAGGTGCGGTGGCTCACGCCTGTAATCCAAGCACTTTGGAGGCCAAGGCAGGTGGATGACCTGAGGTCAGGAGTTCAAGACCAACCTGACCAACATGGTGAAACCCTGTCTTTTTTTTTTTTTTTTGAGACAGAGTTTCGCTCTTGTTACCCAGGCTGGAGTGCAATGGCGCCATCTCGGCTCACCGCAACCTCCGCCTCCTGGGTTCAGGCAATTCTCCTGCCTCAGCCTCCTGAGTAGCTGGGATTACAGGCACCCACCACCATGCCCAGCTAATTTTTTGTATTTTTAGTAGAGACGGGGTTTCACCATGTTGACTGGGATGGTCTCAATCTCTTGACCTCGTGATCCACCCGCCTCGGCCTCCCAAAGTGCTGGGATTACAGGCTTGAGCCACCGCGCCCGGCGAAACCCTGTCTTAAAAAAAATAAATAAATAAAATAAATAAATAAAATCTTCTTTCCGCTAAATAAGATGACATGTCCAGGCAAAACCATTCAGGACACAGGTATAGGCAAGAACTTCATGACTAAAACACCAAAAGCATCAGCAACAAAAGCCAAAATAGACAAATGGGATCTAATTAAACTCCAGAGCTTCTGTACAGCAAAAGAAACAATCATTAGAGTGAACCAGCAACCAACAGAATGGGAAAAAATTTTTGCAATCTACCCAACTGACAAAGGGCTAATATCCAGAATCTACAAAGAACTATAACAGGTTTACAAGAAAAAAAAATCAAACAAACCCATTCAAAAGTGGGCAAAAGATATGAACAGACACTTTTCAAAAGAAGATATATACAAGGCCAACATACATGAAAAAATGCTCTATCATCACTGGTCATTAGGGAAATGCAAATCAAAACCACACTGCGATATCACCTCATGCCAGCTAGAATGGCAATCATTAAATAATCTGGAGACAACAGATGCTAGAGAGGATGTGGAGAAATAGGAACACTTTTACACTGTTGGTGGGAGTGCAAATTAGTTCAACCATTGTGGAAAACAGGGTGGCAATTCCTCAAGGACCTAGAAACGGAAATTCTATTTGACCCAGCAATCCCATTACTGGGTACATATCCAAAGGATTATAAATTGTTCTATTATAAAGACACATGCACATGTATGTTCACTGCGGCACTGTTTACAATAGCAAAGACCTGGAACCAACCCAAATGACCACTGATGATAGACTGTACAAGGAAAATGTGGCACACATACACCATGGAATACTATGCAGCCATGAAAAATGAGTTGGCGTCCTTTGTAGGGACATGGATAAACCTGGGAAAACATCATTCTCAGCAAACTGACAGAAGAACAGAAAATCAAACACCGCATGTCTCACTCATAGGTGGATGTTGAACAATGAGAACACATGGTTACAGGGAGGGGAGCATCACACACTGGGGTCTGTTGCAGGGCAGCTAGGGGAAGGACAGTGCAGGGTGGGAGGCTGGGGAGGGATAACATGGGGAGAAATGCCAGATACAGGTGACGGGGGGATGGAGGCAGCAATCCACATTGCTATGTATCTACCTATGCAACAATCCTGCATGATTTGCACATGTACCCCAGAACCTAAGTAAAATATATATCTATATATATATATAGATATATATATAGACATATTTATTAAGAAGAAAGAAAATGGCCTGGTACAGTGGATCACCTGAGGTTAGGAGTTCAAGACCAGCCTGGCCAACATGGAGAAACCCTGTTTCTACTAAAAATACACAAAATTAGCAGGGTGTGGTGAGACATGCCTGTAATCCCAGCCACTCAGGAGGCTGAGGCAAGAGAATTGCTTAAACCCAGGAAGTGGAGGTTGCAGTGAGCTGGGATGGCACCACCGCACTCCAGCCTGGGCAACAAGAGCGAAACTGAGCTTCAGAAAAAAAAACAAAGAAAGAAAAAAAGAAAATGTAGAAAATTACAACTAAGACTATGATCAACAACTAGGTAGAGAAGTAAAAGGGGGCATAATTTAGAATTATATACTTTGAGCAGTTTGAACAAGTTCTCTTAGAAGGAACTGGTGAACTGGCAGATAAAATATATTCAGTGATGCATGGTATGGAGCAGAAAAGTTGAGTAGATCCTTTCCTCTGATAAGCAGTTTCCCCCTTCTGGAGATTTTTTTTACAACCGGAACAGGAAACCTGAATAGCTGTGGTTGAAACTGAAGGAAGCATTTTATTCATGCCGGATGATGCCGGGGAAAGCTGAACGGCTGCAGTCAACTGTGAAGCTATAAGAACAGAAGAGGGAGAAAAAAATATTGGTATTTACACAAAATTAAGTAGGCATTCTTTTCTTTTTTTAGAGACAGGGTCTTACTCTGTTGCCCTCTATTGCACTCTAAGGAGTGTAGTGCTATGATCATGGCTCGCTGCAGCTCTGACACCCTGTATTCAAGAGATCTTCCCGCCACCCTGTGCAGTAGTTCATGCCTGTAATCCCAGCACTTTGGGAGGCTGAGGCGAGTGGATCACCTGAGGCCAGGAGATCGAAACCAGCCTGGCTAAATGGTGAAACTCCATCTCTATTAAAAATACAAAATGAGTTGGGTGTTGCAGCGTGTGCCTGTGATCCCAGCTGCTTGGGAGGCCAAGGCAAGAAAATCACTTGAACCCGGGAGGTGGAGGTTACAGTGAGCCAAGACTGTGCCATTGCACTCCAGCCTGGGCAACTGGGCAAGACACTGTCTTAAAAAAAAAAAAAAAAAAAAGAGATCCTCCTGTCTCAGCCTCTCAAGTAGCTAGGACTATAGGCATGCATCACCACACACACCTGGTTAATTTTTTTTTTTTTTTTTTTTTTGAGACGGAGTTTCGCTCTTGTTACCCAGGCTGGAGTGCAATGGCACAATCTTGGCTCACCGCAACCTCCGCCTCCTGGGTTCAAGCAATTCTCCTGCCTCAGCCTCCCGAGTAGCTGGGACTACAGGAGTGCACCACCATGCCTGGCTAACTTTTGTATTTTTAATAGAGACGGGGTTTCACCTTGCTGACCAAGATGGTCTCGATCTCTTGACCTCGTGATCCACCTGCCTCAGCCTCCCAAAGTACACCTGGTTAATTTTTAAATTTTCTGTAGAGACAGGATCTCACTATGTTGCCCAGGCTGGTCTCAAATGTCTATCCTCAAGCAATCCTCCCACCTTAGCCTCCGAAAATGTTACAGGTGTGAGCCACCATGCCCAGCCACTTTCATTTTCTTTCTTTCTTTTTTGAAAGTGCAGTGGTGCAATCTCAGCTCACCACAACCTCTGCGTCCTGGGTTCAAGTGATTCTCCTGCCTTAGCCTCCCAAAGTAGCTGGACTATAGGCTCATGCCACCATGCTCGGCTAATTTTTTTGGTATTTTTAGTAGAGATGGGGTTTCACTATGTTGGCCAGGCTGGTCTCAAACTCCTGATCTCGTGATCCACTTGCCTTGGCCTCCCAAAGTGTTGGGATTATAGGCATGAGCCACCATGCCCGGCCTTTCTTTCATTTTCTTACAGGTTACTTCTCCTGGACTTGAAACCCAACACAGAGTTAATATTCAAAGTCATTAAAAAAGAATAAATTGGCCGGGCGTGGTGGCTCACGCTTGTAATCCCAGCACTTTGGGAGGCCGAGGTGGGTGGATCATGAGGTCAAGAGATCGAGACCATCCTGGTCAACATGGTGAAACCCCGTCTCTACTAAAATACAAAAATTAGCTGGGCGTGGTGGCGTGTGCCTGTAATCCCAGCTACTCAGGAGGCTGAGGCAGGAGAATTGCCTGAACCCAGGAGGTGGAGGTTGCGGTGAGCCGAGATCGTGCCATTGCCCTCCAGCCTGGGTAACAAGAGCGAAACTCCGTCTCAAAAAAAAAAAAAAGAATAAATTAGCTATCATACTGGTCTGAAAAAACATGATTAACTTAAGTAATTCTATTACCACTCTCTGAAAACACAGTGTTTACTTTCAGTTCATTCTCCTGAGTTCTGGACTGTTGGGCGTGACAAAACTCCTGAAAAGAAAAAAAAAAAAAAAGAATTAGAAATAATGAATACAGTTAACTTAAGACAACCAGTCATTCAACAGAAAATGATAAATTATGGTCAGGTCTGGTCAATGAATTGTATAACTGAACTGAACCAAAATACATAGAGGTACGCACTACCATTTTGGTGCTCTTTAGCTGACAACACCAATCACCTAATAAACGGTTTTCTACGGTATCCTGGTATGATGTCAGAATCTTTGTCAACAAAATCCCTGAACTCACTACCAATAGTAAGCAGACATATTGAATTGCAACTATTTTCACTCCTGTTTTGCTTTTTTTTTGAGACTAGATCTCACTGTCACCCAGGAGTGTAGTGACGCAATCTCAGCTCACTACAACCTCCTACTTTCAGGTTCAAGTGATTCTCGTGCCTCAGCCTCCCAAGTAGCTGGGACTATAGGGGCATGCCACCATGCCTGGATAATTTTTGAATATTTAGTAGAGATGAAGTTTCACCATATTGCCCGTGGTCTTGAACTGGCCTCAAGTGATAAGCCTGTCTTGGCCTCCCAAAGTGCTGGGATTACAGGCATAAGCCACTGTACCTGGCCTTCCCTGCTTGTTCTAATAATTAATAGCTAATTGTCTTCATAAAGACCTTAAACCTAGAAATTGTTTATTGGGCAGAATGATTCTTACAAGAGACAGTTTTTTCAGAGCTGCAAGCAATTTCATAGCTACCATATCTAAACTTGGATCTATGCCTGAATGTCCATGGAATGAAGAGGCAAGAGATAGTTCTTAGATGAGTAATGTTCCCCAGTAAACTCAATGGTAAGTCAACTCAATGGTAAGCATACCCTTATTTAATATTAATCTACTTTAGGCTATTTCTAAATAGACTTCTACAAATAAATTATTCTTTTTAGTGATCTACTTTTTCTTTCATTAGAAATTTCAGCTGGTTGTTCATACAGAAACATTCTTTTTTCTTTTTAAGAGACAGGGTCTCGCTTTGTCACCCAGGCTGCAGTGCAATGGCATGATGATAGCTCACTGCTTCCTTGAATTTCTGGGCTCAAGCGATCCTCCCGCCTTAGCCTCCCATGTAGCTACAGTCATGTGCCACTATGCCTGGCTAATTTTTTTTTTTTTTTTGAGACAGAGTCTTGCTCTGTCACTCAGGCTGGAGTGCGGTGGCATCATCTCAGCTCACTGCAACCTCTGCCTCTCAGGTTCAAGCAATTCTGTGCCTCAGCCTCCAGAGTAGCTGGGATTACAGATGACTGCCACCACACCTGGCTAATTTTTTATTTTTAGTAGAGATGAGGTCTCACCATTTTGGACAGGCTGGTCTTGAACTCATGACCTCGTGATCCACCAGCCTTGGCCTCCCAAAGTGCTGGGATTACAGGTATGAGCCACCGTGCCTGGCCAATTTTTGTATTTTTTTATAGAGACAGGGTCTTGTCATCCGGTTGGTCTCTAATTCCTGGGTTCAAGTGATCCTCCCGCCTTGGCCTCTCAAAGTTCTGGGATTATAGGTGAGAGCCACTGTGCCCAGCCATATATACAAACATTCTAAGGAATGTTTTCTCTGCTTAAACTATATTCACAGTTCAAGTCAGTTCATTCTTCATAGCTTATTTAGTAAGTGATATGTCTAAAAAAGTTTTTTAAAATTTACATATAAAATTAATTTAGATTAAAAAAATGTAATTTGTATTGTTTCAAGTTAAGAAAAACAAAAATAAAAATGTGTTAGCTTTCTCTGGAAGTACTCTATTGAAAAAAAGTGTTAACCTTAGCTAGGCCCATAACACCCTAAATAAACCTTTTACTCACACAAAAACCCAATTCCAAACAGTCCATTCTTTGCTGAAATCATTTTCTTTCATATACTTGTAATGGCACTTAACACCGTATACTTTGTATTATTTAATTAACTGCTTTGGAGGAGATAAGGATTTGAGTTTTTCAATTAATAATTTCAGCTCCTTTTGTAACTAAAATTTATAGTTAAACGCTGCTCTAGAAATAATGGAAATAAGGGAAAATATTTACTTGAACATTGTCGGGTTCTGTCTTAATTTCATCTAGCAGCCCCAGCTGTGATGCCTCTGCCTTGTCACATTCACCATCTAACAATGGTTCTTTCATTTCAGTATCTGATGCAAAGGAATCCTCCAGTTCCAAACTAAAGGATTTCTTCCTGAAGAACAGTTTCCAGATTCCTAAAATAAAATATTGATAAAGAGTTTGATTTTAAAATTAGTCCTTCTAAATATGGTAATTTTCTAGAACCACAAAAGGGTCTTTAGATAGTCTGAAATAAGGTTCCTTCACTGTAAAAACACTGGCTTCTTTCCTTTCATCCATTTTTTAATACAGTTTTGCTCTACTCTTCTCTGGTAGCTACTACCAACTCTGTGCTTTCTTCTGGAAATGTCTCCATTTCTGTTCCCCGAAGCCCCTGAATGCAGCACAAAACCACCAAAACTTACGAGTTCATTTTTAACTTTTCAATAGTAGAAAATGTAAAGCTTTCAGCTGGGGGGTGCTTGCTTACACCTATAATTCCAGCACTTTGTGAGGCCAAGGCGGGTGGATCACTTGAGGTCAGGAGTTTGAGACCAGCCAGGCCAACATGGCAAAAACCTATCTTTACTAAAAATATAAAAATTAGCTGGGCATGGTGATGAATGCCTGTAATTCCAGCTACTCAGGAGGCCAAGGCACGAGAATCACTTGAACCTGGGAGATGGAGGTTGCAGTGAATAGAGTGAACTGCACTGCAGCCTGGGTGACAGAGTGAGACTGTGTCTCAACAAACAGAAAGAAAATGTAAAGCTTTCTATCTGAGGTTAACTCAATCTGTACTCACTACCCCTCCCTGACCTCCAGTTATCCTTCTCATTTGTTTCTTCAATTCCTCTTCCCCTCCTATTGGTTCCAGGACATAAGCATTTAAAAACATTCTAGAGGCTGGGCGCGGTGGCTCAAGCCTGTAATCCCAGCACTTTGGGAGGCCGAGGCGGGTGGATCACGAGGTCAAGAGATCGAGATCATCTCGGTCAACATAGTGAAACCCCGTCTCTACTAAAAATACAAAAAATTAGCTGGGCATGGTGGCGCGTGCCTGTAATCCCAGCTACTCAGGAGGCTGAGGCAGGAGAATTGCCTGAACCCAGGAGGCGGAGGTTGCGGTGAGCTGAGATCGCGCCATTGCACTCCAGCCTGGGTAACAAGAGCGAAACTCCGTCTCAGAAAAAAAAAAATAAATAAATAAAAACATTCTAGAATCTAAAGCTATCTGCCCTCTCTCTGACCACCCCTTTGCATCTCCCCTTTCCTCATTCTTGAAATTCCTTTGATTTTTCTTGCTCTAAGGTCTCCTATTTCTCATTTTACCTTTTTACCAGTCTTTTTCACATATACTTATTTTACCTGCTTTTAAAATGTTTGTTCCTCAAAAGCACAATTCCTCAGTACTCCTTCTCACCTGCTCTATGTTCTTGAACTCCTGGCTTTTAAAAAAATAACCAAGTTGGCCAGGCACAATAATGGCTCATGGTTGTAATCCCACAACTTTGGGAGGCGGAGGTGGGTGGATCACCTGAGGTTCGAAGATCAGCCTGATCAACATGCTGAAACCCTGTTTCTACTAAAAACACAAAAAATTAGCCAGGAGTGGTGGCACAAGCCTGTAATCCCAGCTACTTAGTAGGGTGTGAGAGGAGAATTGCTTGAACCTGGGAGGCAGAGGTTGCAGTGGGCTGAGATGACGCCACTGCACTCCAGCCTGGGCAACAGAACAAGACTGTCTCAAAAAAAAAAAAAAAAAAAAAAAAAAAAAAAAAAAAAAAAGAACCTGTTGGGCAGGTGCAGTAGCTCATGCCTGTAACCCCAGCACTTTGGGAGTCCAAGCTGGTAGATGACCTGCGGTCAGGAGTTTGAGACCAGCCTGGCCAACAGGGCAAAACCCTGTCTCTACTAAAACGCAAAAAAATTAGCCAGGTATGGTGGTGTGTGCCTGTGATCCCAGCTACTCAGAAGGTTGAGACAAGAGAATCACTTGAACTCATGAGGCGAAGGTTGCAGTGAGCTGAGACTGCACCACTGCACTCCAGCCTGGGCAACAGAGACTGTCACAAACAAACAAAAAACCAAGTCTTTTTTTTTTGAGACAAGGTCTCACTCTGTCATCCAGGCAGTGGTATTATATCCGTTCACTGAAGCCTCGCCATTCTGGGATGAAGCAATTACCCTACCTTAGTCTCCTGAGTAGCTGGGACCACAGGCATATGCCACCATGCCCACCTAATTTCTTTTTTTCGCAGAGAAGGCGCCTCACCATGTTGTCCAAGCTGATCGCGATCTCCTGGGCTCAAGTGAGCCTCTCATCTCAGCCTCCCAAAGTGCTGGAATGACAGGTGTGAACCACTGTGCCTGGCCTATGATCACAGCCTCAGATTCAACTATCACCTATGGGCTGCTCTTCCCCTACATTCCTAAGCTTTGGCCCATATACCCAATTTTCTATTAAATATCTCCACTTGAATGTTGAATCCCCACAGGTCCCTCAAACTCAAGGGGTTTGAACTCTGGTCTCAAGCAATCCTCTTGCCTCAGTAAAACGATATTCTTTTATTACCCCCACAAACCTGCTTTACAGATATTCCCTTTCTTTGTAAATGGCAGTGTCATATACCTAACTTCCCATGCCAGAGAATCTAGGATTAACCTGGAACTCTTCTCCCTAAATCTAATCGTGAAATTAGATCAATCTACCTTTTACGTAAGTCTTAAGTCTATTTTCCCATCATACATCATGACTGCTTCACCTTACTACCCAAATCAATAGATTGCTTTTCGGTCAACAGGCAGCTAAAATCCAAACTCACAATATACAAAACTGTTTTGCATTCAGGCTTTATAAAAATTCCATTTTACAATTTTTGAGGAACTACGAGAGCAAGATCTCTTTTTCAAACACAGAATGGTTCCTTGTGTTCTTCTTTTTCCTTGACTGAGGCCTACTTTCCACTTTTCTAGTAGCTGTGTCACCTCTGATTCTAAATCCTTTGGAACTCTTTTCCTTCCTGCTACCCTAGCTTGGCTTCAGAGTGCTTTGCTTCCTGTCTCCTAGACCCCCCGTCTTTGATCAACTCCAAGACAAACATCTACTCTTAAAAAAGGGCCTTATAAGTCAGGTGCGGTGGCTCATGCCTGTAATCCCAGCACTTTGAGGGGCTGAGGCAGGTGGATCACGAGGTCAAGAGATTGAGACCATCCTGGCCAACATGGTGAAACCCCAACCCTACTAAAAATACAAAAATTAGCTGGGTGTGGTGGCACATGCCTGTAGTCCCAATTACTATGGAGGCCGAAGCAGGAGAATCGCTTGAACCCAGGAGGAAGAGGTGCAGTGAGCCAAGATTAAGCCCCTGTACTCCAGCCTAGCAGCAGAGTGACACTCGTCTCAAAAAAAAAAGAAAGAAAAAAAGAAGAGGGGAGGGCTTATAACTAATTATTATGGAGGGCAGACAATAACTAACACGAATGTGGAGAAGTTGAAGTTCTTACAGGATCACTTAGAATAATGGGATCCAAAAAAGAAAAAAAACAAAAAACCTCTTGCAGAAGTAATTCCAGGACTATGTTTTTATTCTGGGTGAGTACATAAAAGACCTAAATAATTATGCCACTATTTTTTATTTTGGGGATTGGGGCTCAACCACTTTCCCTCATTTCTATCCTTAATTCAGCTTTTGTTGAAAGTTCCTATCCCAATGCAGGAAGTTAAAAAAGGCCTGAGTGCAAGTGCGATAAATAGTTCATAGTCTCTGTCCAGCCCATTTGAGCATTATACACAAGCAGCAAAGCAAAAATCACTAAAAATTAACTATCTGTCATTAGGTCGATTCCCTTCACCTAAAAGTAAATATGCCATGCAAGTCTAAACATCAATTAAAAACGAAGCATCGAGGGCCAGGCACAGTGGTTCACACCTGTAATCCCAGCATTTGGGAGGCTGAGGTGGATGAGACTAGCCTGGCCAACATGGTGAAACCCCTTCTCTACTAAAGATACAAAAAATTAGTTGGGTGTGGTGGTGGGTGCCTATAAGCGCAGCTACTCAGGAGGCTGAGGCAGGAGAATTGCTTGAACCCAGGAGCTGGAGGCTGCAGTGAGCCAAGATTGTGCCATTGCACTCCAGCCTGGGTGACAAGGCAAGACTCTGTCTCAAAAATAAATAAACAAACAAACAAAAAACAAAAAACCAAAAAGCAAACAAACAAAAAAACAAAGTTTTGTGCAGTGGCAGTATCATGGCCAATGAGGTTTACATGAGGTACAATTAGTGCTATTTGGACAAAACAAAATAAAATAAAACAAAGCACTTATGAGCTTTGGCATCTCGCAACCCCTTCAAAGTGTCATCACACAAACAGAAAAAGAACGGAGGCTGGGTGTGGTGGCTCATGCCTGTAATCCCAGCACTTTTGGGAGGCTGAGGTGGGTGGATCATGAGGTCAGGAGTTCGAGACCAGCCTAGCCAACATGTTGAAATCACATCTTTACTAAAAATACAAAAATTAACTAGGGACAGTAACTGTATTAAAAAAACAAGAAAACAAAAAACAAAAACCAAGCCAGGCGTAATCCCAGCTACTCAGGAGGCCAAAGCAGGAGAACGACTTGAACCCAGGAGGCAGAGGTTGCAGTGAGCCAAGATAGCGGCACTGCACTCCAGCCTGGGCTACAGAAGGAGACTCTGTCTCCAAAACAAAAGTAAACAAAAACCAGATACATCCAGGCATAACACAGTATCCTTTAGCATACTAAATCCTTTCACTGGAATCAATTACAAAATTTAAAAGGCTTTACTGGTAAGGGCCCTTTCCAGGACAGAGTAGTAGAAACCCAAGCAGAAAACAGCCAGGAGACAGAGTTAGAAATACTGGGTTCTAAAGTAGCTGGAACTCAAGAGGCACAATTTGGGAGAGGAGGTAACCACAGAGGAATAATATGCATACAAATCTCCCCTCCTCCACGTCATTGGCTGACTCCTAAACTGCACATTTCCAGAGTGAGACTTCAAAAACTTAACAGAAAACAGCAGTTAAAGTCAAAGAGCTGATAAGAGATTATAGCAGCTATGCAGAGCTGAGAGTTGAAATTTAAGACTAGCAAGATAAAGGGGTTTCGGTAAAGACCTAGATTTCCGGTTGAAATTCATGGAGGGCATTGCCCTAGGAGTAATGGCTGTGCCCCAGGAGAAAAAGAGACCACTTCCAAGAAGAAAGGACAAACTAAAATAGACCAGCCCTAACAAGGCCTATAATCAACCCTCAACAGGATCAATGTCATTTGCTACTACTGTCCACCTGCCTAATGGCAACCTTACCCTGCTCTGAAGGAAGTACATCCAGATGCTAATAATGTTCATCCAACATGTCCAGAATCTAGTAATAATTTATGGACCAAAAGTAATTTTTAAAATGCCAAAACTGACTGGAAAAAAAATGGCAATAGAAACAAACCCACAGGTGGCTCAGATATTGTTCTTGTCAGGCAAGGACTTGGTTATGTTTCAGAAAACAGCAGAGAAGATGGAGAAGTTCTGTAGTGACCTGGAATCCATTAAAAAATAAAAAAAAAAGAGTTAAATGGAAAATCTAGAATTGCAAAACACAGTGAGGAAATTAAGACTTCAACAGGTGAGTATCAAATTAATGAAGAACACAGGCTAGAAGGTAGACTTATGCACAGAGATAAGAGGATGGAAAATAGAAATAATGTGCCATGTGGGATTCCTATTCAGTTCTAGAGTAAGAATCTAGAATAAGGTGTCATGTGGGATCTTTTATTCAGTTCTAGAATGAGAGAAAATAGACATTGCAAAATAAACAGTATTTGAAAGAAAATACCAGGCAAGGTGGCTCACACCTATAATCCCAGGACTTTGGGAGGCTGAGGCAGGAGGATCACTTGAGCCCCGGAGTTTGAGACCAGGCTGGGTGACACAGTTCGACCCTCATCTCTACAAAGAAGTTACAAAAATTAGCTGGGTATGGTGGTGGATACCTGTAGTAAAGGTTAGCTGGGAGACTGAGGCTGGAGGATCACTTGAGCCCAGGAGTTCCAGGTTACAGTGAGCTATGACTGCACCACTGCACACCAGCCTGGGTGACAGACTGAGACACTGTCTTGAAAAAATAAATAAACTAAAATACTGCACAATTTTTTGGGACAATTTCCCCAAACTGAAGAAAAACATTAAACCACATGAATTCAAGCTCTGTGAATCACAAATAAGACAAATATAAAGAAAAACACAAGTAGCATATCATAGTCACACTGGTGAAAACCAAAAAGAAGAATTTAAATGCAGTAAGAAGGCTGGATGTGATGATTCACACTTGTAATTAGAGCATGTTGGGAGGCAGAGGACAGACGACTGCTTAAGCCCAGGAGTTTGAGGCCAGCCCCCAGCAGCACAGTGAGACCCTGATCTCAAAAAAAAAAAAATTAGCTGGGTTGTGATGGTGTGCACCTGCAGTCCCAGCTACTCAGGAGGCTGAGGTGCTAGGACTGCTTAAGCCCGGGAGAGTGAGGCTACAATAAGTCGTGATCATGCCACTGCACTCCTGCCCAGAGGGACACAGTGAGACCCTATCTCAAAAAAAGAAGAAAAGAAACAATGAAAGCCAGAGCCAATGTAGTATCTTTAAAGTGCTGGGGAAAACTCTTCATAAAATTCTGTATTCAGTAAAGATATCCTTTCAACATTAAGACCAAAATAAAGACATTTTCAGATAAATGAAAACACTGTAGAAATTCTAAAGGAAATTCTTTAAGCTAAAGTAAAATAGTAGATGGGAATTTAGCATAAAAGTTGGAAAGGAGGCCGGGTGCGGTGGCTCAAGCCTGTAATCCCAGCACTTTGGGAGGCTGAGGCGGGTGGATCACGAGGTCAAGAGATCGAGACCATCCTGATCAACATGGTGAAACCCTGTCTCTACTAAAAATAAAAAAAATTACCTGGGCATGGTGGCGCGTGCCTGTAATCCCAGCTACTCAGGAGGCTGAGGCAGGAGAATTGCCTGAACCCAGGAGGTGGAGGTTGCGGTGAGCCGAGATGGTGCCATTGCACTCCAGCCTGGGTAACAAGAGCGAAACTCCGTCTCAAAAAAAAAAAAAAAAAGTTGGAAAGGAGGCCAGGCATTGTGGCTCACACTTGTAATCCCAGTACTTTGGAAGTCTGAGGCAAGCAGATTACTTGAGGTCAGGAGTTTGAGACCAGCCTGGCCAACATGGTAAAACCCCATCTCTACTAAAAAATACAAAAATTAGCTGGGCGTGGTGGTGCACGCCTGTAATCCCAGCTACTTTGGAGGCTGAGGCAGGAGAACTGCATGAACCCAGGAGATGGAGGGTGCAGTGGGTTGAGACTGCACCACTGCACTCCAGCCTGGGTGACAGTGCAAGACTCCGTTTAAAAAAAAAAAAAATTGGAAAGGAAGAAGAAAACCGTTTTTTTTTTTTTTTGGTAGACAACATGACTGCATATAGAAAACTCTTAAGGAATGTCCCTCACCCCACCCCTGCAAAAGAAACTACTAGAATAAGTGAATTCCACAGAATCATAGACTACAAGATCTGCATTTTAGAATTTCCTTTCTTAACACTTATCTTCAACACTGTAGAAATTCTAGTCAGATAAATAAAGCAAGAAAAAATAAGACAAACTTTGAAAATAAATGAAATTGTTATTTATAGATAATATGATTGTGCACATAAAAAATTCAAAAGAATCTCCAAATTACTAAGCTTAGCAAGATATTCAAAAATCAATTCTGGCCAGGTGCAGTGGCTCACATCTTTAATCCTAGCACTTTGGGAGGCTGAGGCGGGTGTATTACCTAAGGTCAGGAGTTTGAGACCAGCCTGACTAACATAGTGAAATCCACCTCTTCTATAACGTCCGTGGTTAATTCTACAGGCAATCAGGAGCCATCGTTTACAAAGTGCCTTAAAACCGGGGTTATAGAGATGAGTAGGATTTCCCACCCAGTAAGTATATACAAGGTATAGAGCAGAAACGAGAAAAGAGAAGATGGTCAGTCTTCTGGGAGGTGAAATTTGAGCTGGATTTTAAAGTGTCTACCAACCAATAATGGGGGATATTCCTGGTATAGAGACAGCATGTACAAAAGCACAAATAGCGGGGCACGGTAGCTCACGCCTGTAATCCCAGCACTTTGAGAGGCCGAAACGGGTGGATTGCTTCAGTTTAGGAGTTCGAGACCAGCCTAGGCAACATGGAGATTACCTGTCTCTACAAAAAACACAAAAATTAGCTGGGCATAGCTGTGAGCACCGGCGAGGGGAGCGAGACCCTGTCTAAAAAAAAAAATAATAGGCCGGGCACGGTGGCTCAAGCCTGTAATCCCAGCACTTTGGGAGGTGGATCACGAGGTCAAGAGATCGAGACCATCCTGGTCAATATGGTGAAACCCCGTCTCTACTAAAAATACAAAAAATTAGCTGGGCATGGTGGCGCATGCCTATAATCCCAGCTACTCAGGAGGCTGAGGCAGGAGAATTGCCTGAACCCAGGAGGCGGAGGTTGCAGTGAGCCGAGATCGTGCCATTGCACTCCAGCCTGGGTAACAAGAGCGAAACTCCGTCACACACACACACACACACACAAAAAAATAATAATAATAAAAACGAAAAAGAACAAATACATGGGAACTAGAAGGAATGGGACTATTGTTAAAGAGTGTTAGTAGAAGGAACTGGAAAGCTGGAAAAGTAGACTTGGGTCATGTCAGGAAGGTCCCTGACACTAAATACCTTAAAATTAATCTTGTGAATCATCACCGTCCAAACCGTGCTTTTGGGGGTCAGCAAACATTTCATTCTTTTGTTTGTTTGTTTGTTTGAGACGGGGTCTCGCTCTGTCGCCCAGGGTGGAATGCAGTGGCGCGATCTCGGCTAAATGCAACCTCTGCCTCCCGGGTTCAAGCGATTCTCCGACCTCAGCCTACCGAGTAGCTGGGATTACAGGCGTGAGCCACTGCACCTAAAAGCACTGCTCAATGAAGTAGAGCTACAGGTGTGATGAGGACTTTTGAAACGGAGGCTGCGGAGGGAGACCCAAAGTCTGAAAGCCCAGTTACTACGCGGAAGCAGGAGGCGGCAAGAATCGCTGCAAGTGGGGAGCAGTAATCCCCGAAACTCTGCGGGCACGGTTAAAGGCGGCGACAAACACAATTCAGGTCTGGGCCCGGCCCGGAGTTCCCGACCCCCATCTGGCGGAATCTGCACTCAAGGCTCCGTCTCTAACACCCCGACCCAGCGCGTCATCCCCGCCTCCGACCGACAGCAGAAACCCTGCCCCTTTCGAATAAGCCGCAGGAGTAAAGACCGAAACCAGAGTCCCATGAGGAAGCTTACTAATTTCTTCCAGAGACACCCGCCGCCTAAGGCTTCTCAAACGATCCTCGAAGCAAAACGGCCCTGCCAGCCCCGCCCCTCTCCCGTCGTGCTTTGCGGCTGGGCATGCGCAGGGACGCCGGCCCAGCATGGTCCCAAGTTCCTTCGCTGGGAAGGGCGACCGTGGGATAAAAAGGATGGGAGAGGGGGAGGGGACGAGTCCTTCTGTCCGCTTGGGATCTTTACCCTTGAGGTCATCGCTGGCTGGTAGCCAAAGTGGGACCCTTGTCTCAGAGCTCAAGCAGGGCGGTTACATTTCCTGGATTTGAGAGATGGCTCTACCACTCATTAGCTGCGTGCTAGTAAGCGATTTGACAACTTCTATAAATCTCAAATTATAGAAGTTGGGGATAATTGTAGTGGCTGCATCATAGGTTTGTAAAGATTAGGCAGGCTTCTGCAGAAGCTGGACTCAAGAAAAGAAAAAATTAGGCAGGCAATGTTAGTAAAGTGCCAGGTACAGAGTAAATTCCCAGTAAAATGAAATTATCCTCAGAGGTAGGGAGTTCAGATTTCTTTCATTAGAGGAAGTATATTAGTACATTAAAATTAAAATGACCCCAGGCCAGGCGCAGTGGCTCACATCTGTAATCCCAGCACTTTGGAAGGCCGAGGCGGGTGGATTGCTTGAGGTCAGGAGTTCAAGACCATCCTGACCAACATGGTAAAACTCTGTCTCCACTAAAAATACAAAAATTAGCCGGACATGGTGGCGGGCGCCTGTAATCTCAGCCACTCGGAAGGCTGAAGCAGGAGAATCACTTGAAGCCAGAAGGCAGAAGTTGCAGTGAGCGGAAATCGCTCACTGGGTGACAGTGGGAGACTCTGTCTCAAAAAATAATAAATAAAATAAAACCCAAAAATAATAATAAAATAAAACCCAAACTGCATGTCAAAAAAGGGTACATTTTGAATGTTTTTAACATGACTTTCACCACTTACAAAAGTATAGGATCAACTAATTGTGTTATTCCTAAAGGCATAAGAGGATTCTAAAAATATATATATAAGGTTGAATGATGAACTTATTATAATCATATCTGACAATTATTTTTAAAGGAGATATTCTCAAATATCCAAATTTGACGCCCTTGTGATGGTGAGGTCCAGAGGAAAAGGGTCTCTTGATCCTTGCTGCTATGGTCCTTAAATATCCTTTGGAGTTAGCCTCAAATCTAATACAAACCCTTTGGTAATTTGAAATACTATACGACTAACTGAAGTTAATTTCTCCAACACTTATTATTACCTTCTAATATTTATAATAATCTATTTAGACTGTTAGGATTAGAAAGGACCTCACTGAAATGATCTCTCCTCTGATGCTCCCTTCTTACCAAAGAAAAAGCTGAGGACAAGGCGATAAAGGCAATTTGCCCTAAGTTACACAGCAAATCAGTGACTGGGATTAGATTAGAACCCAGAAATGAGTACTGGTTCAGTGGGCTTGCAAAGGCAAGTGATGTCATTGCAACTGCCCAGTGGGTTCACCTTGCCCACCACCTAAACAGAGCCCATTTATCAAGACAGGGGAATTGTAATGGAGAAAGATTAATTCACACTGAGCCAGCTGTGCAGGAAACTGGAGTTTTATTATTATTCAAATTAGTCTCCTTGAGCATTTGGGAATCAGAGTTAAGGACAACTGGTGGGTGGGGGGAAGCCAGTGAACCAGGAGTGCTGATTGGTTAGGTAGGAGATGAAATAATGGGAAGTTGAAGCTGTTCTCTTGCACTGAGTTAGTTTCCTGGTGGGGGCCGTAAGATCAGGTGAGCCAGTTTATCGATCTGGGTGGTACCAGCTGATCCATCAAGAGGAGTCTGCAAAATATCTCAAGCACTGATCTTATAAGCAGTTTAGGGAGAGTCAGAATCTTGGCCTCCAGCTGCGTGACTCCTAAACCATTATTTCTAATCTTGTGGCTAATTTGTTACTCCTGTTAAGGCAGTCTAGTCCCCAGGCTAGAATAAGGTTTGTTTTGGGAAAGGGCTGTTATCATCTTTGTTTTAAACTATAAACTAAATTCCTCCCAAAGTTAGTTCAGCCTATGCCCAGGAAGGAACAAGGACAGCTTGAAGGTTAAGAAGCAAGATGGAGTCCATGAGGTTAGTCATGGTCTCCGTCATAATTTTGGAAAGGTGGTTTCATCATCATTACTAACTTCCTTGGTCGTTGAAAAAATGGTAGGATTCATGATATCACAACAAATTATAAGGATATGTGATAATTTTGAGATGTGACATTCCAACCACCCCCACTGATAGATATGAAAATTTGGCCCAATATTTCAAGCAGTAGATGTAGGTCACAAGTTGCATGTGTCTTTCTTGCTCTGAAGTCTCAATAGTTTATACTGGCTGAAAGGTTAAGTCCTAAGGAATAGTAGGAGAGCTCTGGGAGATAGGAAGCTTGATTCTTCTTTCTTCTTCTTTTTTTTTAAAGACGGGGTTTCACCATGTTGGTCAGGCTGGTCTTGAACTCCCGACCTCAGGTGATCCACCAGCCTTGGCCTCCAAAGTGGTTGGATTACAGGCGTGAGCCACCACGCCAGGCCTTTTTTTTTTTTTTTTTTTAAATAAAGATGGAGTTTCACCATGATGGCCAGACTGGTCTTGAACTCCTGACCTCAGGTGATCCACCCACCTGGGCCTCCCAAAGTGCTAGGATTATATGCATGAGCCACTGTGCCCGGCCCCCTCCGTTTTTTTTTTTTTTTTTTTTTTTTTTTTTTTAGATGGGGTTTCACCGGCCGGGCGCAGTGGCTCAAGCCTGTAATCCCAGCACTTTGGGAGGCCGAGGCGGGTGGATCACGAGGTCAAGAGATCGAGACCATCCTGGTCAACATGGTGAAACCCCATGTCTACTAAAAACACAAAAAATTAGCTGGGCATGGTGGCGCGTGCTTGTGATCTCAGCTACTCAGGAGGCTGAGGCAGGAGAATTGCCTGAACCCAGGAGGTGGAGGTTGCGGTGAGCCGAGATCGCGCCATTGCACTCCAGCCTGGGTAACAAGAGTGAAACTCTGTCTCAAAAAAAAAAAAAAAAAAAAAGATGGGGTTTCACCAAGTTGGTCAGGCTGGTCTTGAACTCCCAACCTCAGCCTCCAAAGTGCTTGAATTACAGGCATGAGCTACCACGCCCAGCTGATTCTTCTTCTTTTCTTTTTTTTTGAGTTGGAGTTTTGCTCTTATCACCCAGGCTCGAGTGCAATGGCATGATCTTGGTGACTCACTGCAACATCCGCCTCCCAGATTCAAGTGATTCTTCTGCCTCAGCCTTCTGAGTAGTTGGGACTACCAGCATGTGCCACCACACCCGGCTAATTTTGTATTTTTAGTAGAGATGGGGTTTCGCCATGTTAGCCAGGCTGGTTTGGAACTCCTGACTTCAAGTGATCCATCCACCTTGGCCTTCCAAAGTGCTAGGATTACAGGCATGAGCCACAGTGCCTGGCCTGTTCATTTGATATATAGGATATATATCATATGTCTCAAAAAAAGAGATTTTTCATATCTCTTTATTTTTTCAATTAACATTTTTTTTCTGTGTAACATACAAAAAATTACCCTTGATTATATGATAATGATGCCTTAACTAATAAGTTGGAGCCTAAAGGCATTTCCTCAACCTCAAATGTAGCACCTGAAAGAAGTTGTTAATATTGTGACACCAGGAGCCTGTAGGAGCCAAGACTGTAACAGTGAATAGAATCATTAGATTGGGTTTAAGAGTGGGGAGTGCTTGGGACAGCAGTACATGGAAGATCACATGCTCCACTGAAAGGATACTTACTACTCAGCTCTGATCACCGCCATTCAGAAATGCAGGGCCCACTGTTGCCCAAACTTCCAGTTTTCAAAAGAAACCAGAAGTCCAAGCCGGGCGCGGTGGCTCAAGCCTGTAATCCCAGCACTTTGGGAGGCTGAGGCGGGTGGATCACGAGGTCAAGAGATCGAGACCATCTCGATCAACAAGGTGAAACCCCATCGCTACTAAAAATACAAAAAATTAGCTGGGCATGGTGGCGCATGCCTGTAATCCCAGCTACTCAGGAGGCTGAGGCAGGAGAGTTGCCTGAACCCAGGAGGCGGAGGTTGCAGTGAGCCGAGATCGCGCCATTGCACTCCAGCCTGGGTAACAAGAGCGAAACTCCGTCTCAAAAAAAAAAAAAAAAAAAAACTAGAAGTCCATATTTTCATGTGAAATTGCCTGATTTAAAAAAAAAAGTTAGAAACAAATTAAACATTTTAGAGTATCTGGTAGTTAAAAAGTAACAATGGGCTAAATCTAGTCCACAGGCTGCCTATTTGCAATCTTTGTGTTGGATGGTTGCTGGTCAAAAGCCCAGAAGTTAGCAATCTATCACTAAATTATGAAGGCTGTCCATCTTTCAATTTAGCCCCTAGAGAACTCCCAAGGGAAGAGAAACAGGTTTTATTAAGTAAAAATCAAAACCTGCCAGAACTAAACTTTCCAGAAGCTTTACCTCAGTTTTCTTGGTGGGACTAGAGAGAAAGAGGATCCAAGTGTCAGAGATGTGTGAACCAAAGCGACTCCGTCTTGAATAGGAGCTAGGTAAAATTAGGCTGAATTTTACCTAGCTCTGGGCTGCATTCCCAGATGGTTAAAGCATTTTAAACCACAGGATGAAATAGGAGGTCAGCACAAAATACAGGTCATAAAGGCCTTGCTGATAAAATAGTTTGCAGTAAAGAAGCCAACTAAAACCCACCAAAACTAAGACGGTGACCAGAGTGTCCTCTGGTTGTCCTCACTGCTACACTACCACCAACACCATAACAGTTTATAGATGGTCAGGAAGTATATGGTCTACAAAGGGGAGGCATGAATAATCCACCCCTTGTTTAGGATATAATTGTAAGAGTTAACAAAAGAGGAAATAAACAGGAAAAGTGGCCCAACAGTCAAAGACAGTTTTATTTTGGAGAATAAGCCTGAGAAGGGCTTCTGGCCAGTTTTGGTCAGGATCCTTCTCTCTTGCAAACTAAGGGTATTTAAGGGTT